GATAAAAGTGTTAGCGTCATTTAAAATAATATTTCTTCATGGCAAGATAATAAAATGTGCGAGGTTTATTATATAAAGATTTATTAATTAAAATTTATTAGATATTATTCCATCTCGCATAGCCCTCAAGGTCGTGACGGAAAACTCTTACACTTTTTTTCGCCTAGTCCGTCAAGTCCGTACCGTGCGATAAGGAACTTCGTTCCAAAAACAATTTTTATCATTTTCCGAACTCAAAGTTATCTCTTAATCGATCTTCATTTAAAAACATCCACCTGTACGTTCGCAACACACAGCGTATAGTATGTATTCGCGAAGCGTGCGTATCTCATTGCCGCGTCTGTACGCGTATCGGTCTATGAATGTCATTACTGGATTTAGCACTTTTTTAATCTATGATATACACCGACATGCGCATTCTTTGCCGGAATACTTTAAGGAATTAATATATCTTCATACGTTAACCACGTCTCACCATTTACCGCTTGCGATTGTGACATACTAATATGTTCTATAATATCTTTGTAATACTAGACATATATGAAGGAAAGATAAAAATTATGGACATTTGTTTATAGATTTTTATGTTGTTATCCACGAAAAGTATAAAGAATTCCGCATTAAAATATTTAAAAAAAAAATCCTGCAAAAAGCATTCTTTACAATCTCCACCATTTTCCTTCTGTTTTAATTTAAAAACGTGGAAAAAATGTGAAACAGGAAAATGATAGATTATTTGTGAATATATAATCTTTAACACGTAGTGGCGGCGTGAAAGAATCAATTACTATGGTATATGTTATATAACCCCTGGATGTCGTAAGAGATGACTCTCCGTCGTAATGAAAAACTTCGGCTGGCAACCTACTGCAAAGCGTAGCAGACTGTGGCACATGTCCCTCCTATTAAGCAATCTGTGGGGCCTAATGCCTTCAGCAGTGGACTTTTCGATAGGCTGTTAATTATTGAGGGAAAGTATTCTTGTAATGGTTTTAACAATATTTCTCACCTTTTTTACCATCCAGATGTTCAACTCAAAAAAATCCACTGCTGCACGCAGTAAGTCTCTTCCCGTTGTAGGGAAAATTCAACTTGATCGTGCATGGAAAGTGTGTCGCCCCTGGACATTTAGATGGAATACCTAACATACTATAATATTGTCTCTCTATACCATTTCGTGCCGTTTAATGGCGGTTTAGAATATCCACTACCCTATATCTTCCCGTGGGTGTCGTAAGAGGCGACAGTGGGAAACAGGCAGGAGATTGGCGGCAGCATCTTCCTGATAACAGCAAGATTACAATAAAAAAACTACGGTTGCCAACTGGTTCACCAAGCGTAACGAAAAGATCCTGGAACTGGAAGAAGTTATAGACAAGTTATGCTGGCATATTATAAGGATTATCCGATGTCCGAAGAGAGGGGGCGGACACGGTAATTCTCGAACCCGATAAATTGTTCTATCACCGGGAGGGCAACCATCTGTCTCAAGGAGGTGTAGGATTTATCGTCTACAAGTCTCTCGTTAACAACGTTGTAGAGATTGTGAGTGTGTCGACGAAAGTTGCGTACCTTACACTCAGAATCACCAAACGTTATACGATGAAGGTCATACAGGTTTACGCACCAAACTCGGCACTTCCTGTCATATGTAAGAGAAGTCATATCTATCATGACTTGCTGATAAAAGGAAGAGCGGTCTCATCCCAATACAGGTTTTTCAAACTTAAAAGGGTGAGATCCATACTTAACTCTGTAAATGAGATTTGTGTTATGAATAAATATTTTGTATTTGTACATCCCCTTGAGGAGGCGGAGGAAATGTATGAGGATATCTCTAAAGCCATGCATTCCTCCAAAACCCACTATATGGTCTGAGTCCACAGACTGAGAGAACGGTGAGCTAAAACTAAGTGAAATTCGTGATAGGGCAACGGAACCTAAGGGGCAACAGGTGGCCTACTTCATGGAGACAGAGGGACTCTTTATGATGAACTCTTTCTTCCAGAAGCGGCCTCACAGGAAGATGACCTTGTTTGAAAGATTGACTTCATTATGACGACTAGACGGAAACTGTTCAGTGATGTCTCAGTGATCGAAAAATAATTTTGTAATGTCATTAAGAAATACTCCGCCGGCGTCACCGGCAGAAGCGCTTAAAAGATCTTTAAGATGTTGGAGGCGTAATTCCGTCAATGCCGCCAGCAGAGCCCTTCGGAAATGACATAATTGCTTCTAAAGTGTTTTTTTCAGAAATTTGTAAAGGTTGTATAGAAGTCTTGGGAGGCAGCGGTACATCCTGAGAAGGATTGACCGAAGGATGTTTCTGACGAAGGCTTTCAAGAGTTTCGACATTACGAGGAGCGTGGATGTCGTCTGAGAATAAAATAAGGGATGCAGTTTTAAGTCACCATCCATTACTTTCTACTCAACTACTTTTTTTAAATCAAATTTAGGATGTGGTTGAGATAAATGAGTATTAATTGGGTAATCTAAATTTTGAAAAGATGTCTCTTTTAGTTGGGACATAATTGATTTATTTATTGTTTTATCAAAATACGCGAAAGTAAATAATTTCGTTAATAAGGTCGTTGCCTATGTGTCAGTGTAAGTATTCAGTTAATAATCTAAGAAACAGAAACAGAAACAGAAAGCTAAAAAGCGAGCTAAAAAAGTGGGTGAAGATCATTTACTTTAGTGCAACGTTACTTTCGTAACGTTTTTTACCTATGTGAACACATCGTGTGTCGTGACATAGATGAGTTATCTAACCACCGTCGGAACAAGGGTGGCGGAACCCGACTCAGACGGCTAACTCGTTTCGTTTGATGTGCCTGGGTGGTTCTCACCGGGTGTATAGTATGTGCGCGGTGTGGAGGGGTGTGCGGCGCGCCCGTCTGCGGACGTGTTGCGTGCTATCCATTATCCTAACCTTGTTTGTAACATTAGGTTAGTGTGTAGTGTTATTGTGTGACGGCCCGGCGACATTTGGATCTTGGGGGTCTAACTGAACCGGGGGTTCGATTAAAATGTCCGGAGAGTGGCCATGACGTTTGGAGTGAGAACGTAACTGGTTGTTTTTACCATTAGCTGATTGGAAAGTGTCTCAGTACTACTTCGAGAGCGCTGAGACATTTCTTTGTAATACTCAGAGATCGTCGGAAGTTGGCAATCCCTGTGTACATCAGAATTTCGCTGGTAACACCTTGTTCCGGTGGATTTGGGAATAAAGCTGTTTTGGACGACTTGGAGGCCATATAAACTATTTTTGGGCACGTGGGCGAAGGTTGCGCTGGTGTATGACATGATAGGTCTTACGCACGTTATGTAGAGATGGAGCTTGTGTCTTAGGGACAGTTTGCTCTTGCTGTTTTCTAGCGGATGGAGGCGACTAGTAACGAATTTGACACGATTGCGGACAATGCGAATGTGTTTCACGAAGGTCATACCGTGGTTGAATGTGACCGCTAGATATTTATCCGTTGATTTCCAGGGTATGAGTTAGCCGAACAGGGGCCGATTGTACGTAACGATTTTTCAGATTTATATTCCAGCGAATTGTGACAGAAGAACACAGGGACAGTTCCTTCTAAAGTATATTGTTTCAATTTTCTCAGGATTTACTTAGATTCCCCATAAGCGAAACCATTCGCCTAAGCCACCGGCGGTTTTTTAGAGCATTGTGGTGTGAAATTTCTTATTATAGTGGACGACAAAGAGTGCTGTGTCATCGGCGAAGAGAGCAATATTAACTGCTTCCTTCACCGATGACACGACACCTGTTACTGGGTCTTTCGGTGAGTCACTCGTGAGTAGTTTGAAGAGGAGTGGGGAGAGGACGGAGCCCTGTGGGACTCCAGCCCTTAGGAGGCGCCTGGAGGAGCGAGATCCCTCTACTCGATAACGAAAATGGCGGTTTGAATTTTTTGTGATTCCAAAAGTTCCTTTTCAATAGTGTATAGTGTGTATATCAAGGCAAAACGCGTTTATTTTATTTTATATTTTGTATAAATAATATGTCTATGTTTAATATTTTGTAATAATGTGCAGATAAAAGAGAAATACAGCTTGCTCCTAAAAATTTAATTCATTACGGTCGAATTTCGACTACTAGACGATCACTAGTAAGGTACGTGAGGGTAATATGCCGCCCCATAAAAAGAAAACCAGGAGGAGGACAGACACAAATACACAATGTTCTATACTATAACTAATATATTAAGAAAAAAATAACAAACAAATCTTGGCAATAATTAGGAACACTTCGAAAAATTTACTTAAAAAAAATCTAACTACACTAGCCAATACTAAAATCGAATAAAAAATTTACTATAATATCAACTGTAAAAATGGCGTCGATAAAGCGGCGCCCTTTTCACTCTTTATTATTTGAATGAGTGATGAAGAGCTATCGTATCACAGAACCATCTATGCAAATAAGGCTGTAGTTTTTGAGTTATAAGAAAGTGACCATATTAACCGGATGACCATATTACCCTCACGTACTTTATTAATTAATTATTGTAACTATTTGGAGTTACTGACTAGAATTAGTAGCAGTATTAAGAATAGAAAGAAAATGAAAGGTGGATCATCATTGCAGCCTTTAAAGAGTCCTCCATTGATTGCCACATATTTGCCATAGTATGCGTCGATCGGCAGGCGGGGTCGCAGTCAGCTATTTTATTAATTTGCGTTGTTATCAGGAAGATGCTGCTGCCAGTCTTCTGTTTTATTATCTCGGACGCTTTTTACAACAACCACGGAAAATAAATGGAAATAAGTACCTATATATATATTAATATAGTAACAGACCACAATTTTATGCTAAAAAATGTATATTAATTACAAGTCATAGAAGTAAGAGTTACGTTTACTTTCTTTTTATATAATAAATCTAATTTCAAATTCGACAATTCATTATAATACAGTTACAATTCTGGTATTTAAATTAAATTTGGTGTTATATAAACTGATTAGTCTTATATTTTAAGTACAATTCAATCGATCTTATTTTCGGTAACTCTGGAACCGTCCAACAGGTTCGTCTTGGTATCGGCGCGTGAGTTACGAGCAACGGAAGGACTTCTTACATGCAGGAGCGACTCCACCACAACCTCTTCGACATATGGTTTTCTTTCTACATCTGTAACAGAAAAAACATATAATGTAGATCGCGCGCGCGTTGTATAGTTATAAATGAGAATGATATATATTTTTTAAACAATAAGGATGACAAACAAGGACAGTCCACCCGATGGGAAGTGGATGCTGTGGCCCATGGACATCTACTTTTATTCCACGATTAAGAATCAAAATGCAGATGCGTTGTCTCCCCTGAGGACTAAGAGCTTCGTTTTCAGTAAAACGGGTCTCCGATTCTCTACTTAGCTAGAGAATCGGAGACAGCATGCTAGCTAGCACAGCTATTTTACGCTGACATTCTGTGAGAGTGTGGTCCCCGGTCCAGCCGACCTATTCGTGCTACAACCATAATATAGCCTGCAGCTTGGCTCTGCTTGGCATAAAGTAGCGTAAAGTTTTAAAATTAACGCGATCAAGATATATAATATACAACTTTGTTAAGTACTTTGCTATGTCATGCTATGTACCTTGATAAATATTGTTTTGATAGAATTTAAAAACACTTTAAGAATGGTAAAATAAAATATATTATGCTTGCCAAAATATTTAATAATACATACTGCTTAGATTGAGGCCACGAAACTATAAATCTTTTTTTAAATAAAGTATGCCATTAGTCGAACGACATAGATCACACGAGCTGATGCTTTTATAGTCTAATACATTTAAGATAGATACATTTTATCAACAACTTTAGGTTTACTCGAGTGGAATAAACTATTTTGACTTAAAAGGTAAAACCAGTTTTTGTCAGAATATAAAACAAGAGCTGTATGTGTGCCTGTTTGGTTGTAGGTGTCTATGGCCTGTAGAAGCAGCCTTACAGTCTTAGCTCGTATAACACTCTAACATTATATATTAAAAAAAACTCTTTTAAAAAGTAAAAATTTTGTACAACCATCTTCAATATACCTAAATAAAATGAGAAAACCATCAATGTAGTCGAAGTCAATTAAATATGCATTATTAAGTATAACCCAAAAACTACTAGTCAGATCTTGATCAAATTTATTCATGAGAAGCACTAGCTTTCAAATAAAAAAGAATCATCAAAATCGGTTCACCTAAAAAAAATTTCTAGGGTAACACTCATAAAAAGAAAAAAAATACAGTTGATTTAAGAACCTCCTCCTTTTTTGGAGTAGATTAAAAATATTCCTTTTAAGTGATTTAATTTTTTTTAAATGTTCGGAGCATGGAAATTACATACCAAACTATATGATACCATACCAATAAGTACTATATTAATTATACGGTATAGAGTAAGTACCCTATAATCGGTTAGAAGACATGATTTATTGATTATGGAGTATGTAAAAAGTGGGTAGCTCGCTAAACCATTAGAGGGTTCTAATGATTTAGCTAGCCAGGCCATGAATTTCATCATGAATATCATGAACTAAATTTCATTCCTTTATGTTTTGTAAGAGTTTGATTTATCGCCGTTTCTAATGTTCCAAACAAAATTTAAAGATAGACAACTGACCGCAGTACTTAGTCAGTAAAAAATGTTTTTTTAAAGCTGTCCCATTAATTCAAAAATATTATTTGCTATCTCTAGTTAACACTAGGCAAGCCTCCTATTCCTTTCTTTCGTTCCATTGCACAGAGAGCCATAGGGAGCTCTACATATGTTAGTATAATAACAAATTGTTTTATTTTTAATAAGAATATTAAAAATTAATTCATGAATATCTAAAAACTTACTTAGTCAATGAAATAAACAAATCGCTCTTAAAAATATAAATGCCTTTGTAAACATAAATTAAAATTGAAATAAAGCTACAATTACATTATTGATTATGTGTATGCGCTACAATTATTTGAGTATTATGTATTGCTTGTTATTTATTTATTTTATTTATTTAAAATATTCACCTTTTATAAACAACGCGACAATGAGCAGACTTAATAGTCTGAGAGCTGGCGACGAAATTTGGGAAGGTCCTTTAGGCAAGTTGAAATTATGAAAAAATATAATTTCGTCATTTGGCGAATCCAGTCCTGCGAGTCTAGCAGAGCGTTTGTGGTTATTTCGTTACTGCGCAGCATATAACATTTGCCAAAAAATTCCAAAAAAAATGTTTTTTGGCAACTTGATTTCTTTTTTATCTTTTAATTTACTTTTATATAATTCAAAAAAAATAATCCCAGACGTTTTTGTCGGTTATAAATTATTTCCAGACCTCACCAAAAACATTTTTTTTAAATTCCCAAAAATAAACTTTTGGCAATCTCAAATTTTAATCACGTATTTATTGAGTAATTTTTAATAATACTTACAGATCGCCAGATAAATTTAGCGGTTTTAAACAATTCCCAGATGTGAATTAAGTTTACAAATGAATACAACAAAAAAGTCTAATGCGTAGCCATGAGTGCGAGAAAGATTATCGAAGCATGCCGACAGCGGATAGGGGCCTAAGCTCCGCGCGCTGTAATTGTTTACTAAGAAATATATTCTTAAAGACTTTAGGATTAAATTCTTGTTTTGGAATTTAGCATGTATGTATGCGCATATATGGCCATGCAAATATCGGTGTATATAGTTTGAATGACTTTAGATCAGTGCTGTAATAATTTGTATAATAGCTATTAATTTTAACCTCGTATTAATAGTAACCTTGGCAAAAATATGTCTTGATAATTACCACCCTATGTTCTTAAAAAGGAACAATATGTATAAAGTGCTTACCGCCCAGAAATGAAGATGGAAAAAATAACAAGTTGCATATTCTCTACAGCCGTAACTTTTTTCACAGTGATGTTGTACAAATATAGATGACTTTTCAACTACCTGAATGTAGTTACGTATGAGCTATATTGTTGTAAAGCTTGTTTAAAATACATTCAGTAGTTTTTGCGTTTAGTTTTTTGGTCAATAATTATTGTTTTACCTTGACAGGAATAATAATTTTTAGGTTGACGGATTAAATCATTCAATAATTCTTTTATATTTCCAATTTTCATAAAATTAATAATTTTGTTTAAATTATAACATTAAAGGAAATTTATAGAGATTTATCATTTTATTGATTTTCCTCCACTTCTTCACTACTCTCTGAAGATTCACTGTCTGGTTCCAGATCTAATGGCATAGAGTCGTTTTACTCAAATATCATAATTAATAACGTTTCAGTTCAATTTGAAAGTCAATTACCCCGCTTTAGTTTTTTACACTATTTGATGATAAGAGTAATGTGATTTTGTTTAGTCTTCTCTTTATAATTGATAATAAAAATAGTTGTCTAGTTTCTTTAATTTAACTTATTTGATAGCTATCGGCCTAGTATGATATTTAAAGCACAGTTTAAAAATATTTACTTATTCAAGTACTGCCCGAAGTCCTATAAAAGGAACATAATAAAACTATATTTAGGTAAATCAAAATTCATCTATATCTGTACCACATCACTGCGAAAAATGTTACGGCTCTGGGCAGTAAGCACTTTATACATATTGTCCCTTTTTAAGAACATGGTGTGGTAATTATCAAAACATATTTTTGCCATGGTTACTATTAATATGACGTTAAAATTAATAGCTATTTTATAAATTATTACATCATTGATTTAAAATTATTCAAACTATATACACTAATATTTACATGGTCATATATGCGCATACATACATGCTAAATCACAAAACAATAATTTCATTTTAAAATCTTTAAAAAAGATATTTCTTAGTAACCAATCACAGCGCGAGGACCTTAGGCCCCTACCCGCTGTCGGCATGCTTCGATAAGCTATCTTTCTCGCACTCATGGCTACGCATAAGACTATTTTGTCGTATTCATTTGTAAACTTTATTCACGTCTGAGAATTGTTTAAAACCGCTAAATTTGTCTGGCGATCTGCAGATAATATTAAAAATTACTCAATAAATACGTGATTAAAATTTGAGTTTGCCAAAAGTATATTTTTGGGAATTTTAAAAATATATTTTTGGAGAGGTCTGGCAATACTTTATAACCGACAAAACATCTGGGATTATTTTTTTGGAATTATACAAAAACTAAATTAAAAGACAAAAAAGAAATCAAGTTGCCAAAAAAAGGATTTTTTGGATTTTTTTTTTTGCAAATGTTATATGCTGCGCAGTAACAAAATAACCTCAAACGCTCTGCTAGACTCGCAGGACTGGATTCGCCAATTGACGAAATTATATTTTTTGACAATTTCAACTTGCCTAAAGGACCTTCCCAAAATTCGTCGCCAGCTCTCAGACTATAAAGCCTAACGGCATTCTCTTACTGGTAGAGACAATTGGACTGACGACATTGAGATATTGTGGTAGGTGTAATTATATACATACGCTGCCTGATATACATATAAACATAGACACTTTACATATATCAGATATACACATTAAACAATATATAAATACACACACTTTAAACATAATGATACTTAAAATAAAACATTAAAATTCATATCGTCTAAATCACCGTTTCAAATAACAACCATGTTCTAATATCTTAAAACAATGGTAATTAAAAGAAATGCTAATCTTATGATGAGAAGAGGAGCAAAGAATGATCGGGATACGAGTTAAAACAGATACTGGAATTTAGCCTGGAGATAAGATGGAGTCTCACTCTTTCCATATTATCACGTGAATGTTTTAAGAGGCAACAGAGGGAAAAGAATCATAGAATCGGCAGCTGCATCTTCCTACAAACAAGTGAAAATACGAGTAATAAAAACCGCGGTTCCAACCCGCCTGAAATACGAGACAGCTAGTACAAAATCCTACCGCCTGAAATACAAAATCCTATGAATATCAATATGTATATGAAGCAGTCTATGGGGGAGGTCTATGTTCTATAAAGAACAAATTTCACATTGAAGTTATTAAAAATCTCATATAACAAAATAAATATACAAAACTATGTAATAACAAAACTATTAATAATGTAGCTCAGGAGCTGTGCACTCACCGTGAATTTTGCAGTGCGCAAGCAATAAACACTTAAAATTAAAATTTATATTAACATAACTATATAACAAAAACTAGCAGCGGGACTTTTTTCCAAAGTAACTTTATACAATAAAAAATAGGTTGTACAATTAATTAGTTGCAAAATTCAGTTAAGAAACAGCTTGGGAGCGATCACCTCATTCGCAGGGGTCATAATTTTTTTTAACATGTATCAATTTATATGATATTAATTTAAACTTGACAATAAAGAGATCTTGTTTCATATTTTTGGGGATATTGTTGTAAGTGGAGGGGGGGGGGGGGTGACTACAAGCTTAGGTACTTCTGAGTTTAATACTTTAGTATAATATAATAAGTTAAAGAACTATGTTCTTTAAACCATAGATCAGTAGGTTCCTTAATATAATATATTTATCTAATGGTGGATACAGTCGAAGGCTTTGAAATGATTACGAAGAATAATCTTCGGAGTTCTTTCATGCACATAAAATATGTTCAATCAGCTCCACACCAGCTTCATGTCACTGTCAAGCAATCTCTTGTAAAGTCAAATTGATTTTTATGCAGTAGTTTAATTATATTAAAATTTTTACATTTCATCTAAAATGAATCTCTATATATAAAAATAAATTGCTTTAATCTCGCAAAAACTCAAAAATGACTAGACCGATTTTGATAATATTTTTTGTGTGTTTGAGTGGGTCCTTGGATGATCTTAACATTTCACAATTGGACCCAGTAGGTGGCGCTGTTGTCGAGATCCAAAAATCACTCGTGCGAAGCCGGGGCAGATCGCTAGTTTTCAATATTTTTACTAAATATTTGTAGTATAGAAATTGGTCTAAAATTATAGGGGTCTAATGTGCTAGCGGATTTAAATAAAGGTATTAAAAATAGTGATAAGGATCTTGTAGGATTTCAACCCAGTACGCAACTGATCAAACGAGTTTAATGTAAACTAGCAAAGCGATAGTGATAAAAAAGATAAATACAAATAAAAAAGGCGTTAATAAAGTTGAACTACCTGCAATACGCTCTTAATAGACTGGCTTATATCATTAAAAATGATAAAATATCATAGTTATACATAAAAAGCTCTTATCAACGCAACTTGTTTCTTGTTTCGGTTTTTTGTTCTTTATTGAAGAATCTTTGTGCAATTAACATTTATAATAGCGCTGAAACTGGTTTTACTTTTAATTAAAAACATAAGTTGTTTTTTTATAGAATAAGGATGACAAGCGAGCACACAGTCCACCTGATGGTAAGTGTTGTTTGCGAATAAAATGCAGATGCGTTCTCCGCCGTGAGGACTAAGATGGAATGCGTTTGTCCAGTAAAAAAGGTCTCCGGTTCTCTACACTCAGCAAGCGAACACAGTAGCATTAAGTTGCTATTTTACGCTGGTGATCTGTGAGTGCATGGTTCTTCCGCGGTCGAGCCGACCCATTCCTGCTACAACTACGAGCATACTAAGTATACTATTAATATAGCTGTAGCATGGCTCTACCACGTAGAAGCGAATTTTGTTTGTTTTATTGTTGTCTTCTTCTCTGTGTAAAAATCTGCTTTGATTTAGAGCCATGCTGCAACTATCTTAGTTGTATATTTGTAGCACGAATAGGTCGGCTCAACCGGGGAAGGACCACACTCTCACAGAATACCAGCGTAAAATAGCAGCTTAATGCTGCTGTGTTTCGTATGTTGAGTGTAGAGAACCGGAGACCCTTTTTACTTGAAACGAGGCATTCCATCTTAGTCCCCAAGGGTGACAACGCATCTGCATCTTGATTCCTAATCGAGGATAGATGTAGATGTCTATGGGCCACAGCAACCACTTACCATCAGGTGGACTGTATGCTCGCTTGTCACCTTTATTCTATAAAAAAGACTATGTATATATGCTAGCAATAAGTCCCAAATATCACTTTCTGTATTCTTAATATTGGCTACACATATCTGACATAAATATAAGTGTCACTCCTGAGAATTGTTCAATTACACATTTATAATTGTGATTATTTTGCCGAAAACATGACAAATGATCAAGCTTTTGTGCCTGCTAGCCAATCAAAACAAATACGGTAAGGTCCGTAATGGTTGTTAATTAATTGTTATAAGAATTTTGCTATAAGTTTAAAATATAACATTATCTTGTAATACTTAAATATAAATAGTAATGACAAAACTAATATTTGTTACATAATTATTACATTATATTACATTTTTTTTCCGTATACTTATTGAATAACAAAAATCAATAATCTTATAAAGTATAATAACTAAATCATTTAATAATAAATAAACATTGGTAATTAAATTTAATAATTATTATTTTTACAGAAGAATCATACTCTGGCAAGATATCCTTTAGTGTTTTCGTTCAAATATTGTGCCGGAAATATGAATTAAATCATGATACTACTGTCAAAATTTTTATAATTTTACGAGATTCTGCGGTGTTCATTTGAATGCAATAATTGATATGTAAAGCATAAAAAGCACAAATAGTTATTATACAGATGTAGTTATTATTGTTGATTCGTTTTGAGCAATCTCCTCCAAAATCTTTTACTTTTCTAAATCCTGTTCGTTCGTATACTTATTTGGTATTCAGGTCGGCCCTAGAAAGATTAACTACAAAAGAAATAATTAAATAGAGGTAAACTTCCAATTAAAAAAAATCGTCTAAAAAAAGAAGTAACGGCCTACATACAGCCCACGGCTGAGCACTGGCCTCCTCTCAGCTGTACGAGGAATTTAAGGTAAGGAAGAGTGCAACACGTTGCTCCAGTACATCTTGGCGGAATACACATGTCTCAAATTTTCAGACATGCAGGTTCTGTTTGATGGCGTTTCTTCACCACTGACTACGTGGTAAGTCACTTAAAATTTCAATTAAGAATTTACTTTTGGTGTCCGCCGGAATCGAACGATTTGCTCGGGCGCTTATACACTAAGCCACTACTACATATTATTACATTACTAGAATGCATTTATGTTTTGCGACTATACTAAGGCACTAATAATCCTGTCCTGCGCAGATGGCTAGTCTCCGTTGTGACTGGCCGCCGTGACCGAAATTCGAACTGGAGGGCATTGTTGTTACTTAAAAAAAAAACGCAATCCAAAAACAATAACGTTCTTTATATTTTAGTCTAGTATAGTAGAGGAAGTTCTCAATGCGACTGTATGTTCTTTTCTTGTATGTACGATTAAAATAAATAAATACAAGACTTTATGCGATATCTTCGCCAATGTGAACCTATTTTAATGGTTTTTCTATTATTAAATAATAAATACAAATACATATAATAATAATTAAAAATAAATACAAATTAAACTTTTAATATTCCGTAGGTTATACTTCAGTGGTCTTAATTCTTCTACACTGTCCGTCTTATTACAAAAAGCAGTTAATATTTTAGTAACTAGAGAAAGACTGCTCGAACCATGTTAGACTGTTTTAGTATTCGTATTAGCTTATAGAAGTATAGTATTAGCTTCAGAAGCTATTAGGTATGTGAAATTTGTATTTTTTTTAATTATTTGCTTTCAGCTTTTATTTTTATTAAGTAACATTAATTTTTTTACTGCTTTTAACTACTTCTTTAGATCGTTGTGATGTGAAACTCGATGATACGAAAAAGCGAGACAAAAAGAGACAAACATATACATCTATAGGAATTAGCATGCGAGAGAATGAGATAGAATACAGTATACAGTGTTTATTTTAAATTTATTTATATTTTAATTTCATAAACCATTTAGCATTCGTCTCATTCTCTCGAAGTTTGGTTTTCTGAAGGTTTCGCTTGTACCATGTGTGATCTGAACACATGTTTAATTTTTTATTTATTTTTTTAATACATAATATGATACATGATGATAACAGAAAAAATTACAGCAAAATATTTTCTAAATTCCTCTAATAATTTTAATTGATCAACAATATGCGCACGTTTTCATGTAATTTATTATCCTTCGAGAAAAAAATAAAAACAAAAATACAGAACACGCGTTATCAGATCACTCCGAGCTTGGAATTCTGCCATCAATGGACATTAATTCTAAAAAGCGACGTAAAATGCGACCGAGGCAATTAATCTGCGCAGAATTTAATGTTCTTTGTTGCATTTAAGAGTTAATGTTGGTATTACGATAAAATAACAATAAGATACATTCACAATAACATCGGTAAAGTGGCCTTTAATAAATATCTACGTGAATTTATACTATCTGTTATTCTGCACTCAGTATGAACCAGAGGAGTAAAGGTTTTTTTCATAAACACTCTTAGCAAACTTACCTGGATTTATTTGTAGCTTAGACTGTGGTGCAGCAACAACCAGACAAATCGAGAGAAAAAGGAGCGTTAACAGAAGTAGGGCTCGCATCGTGACGTACTAACAGACACTGCGCTTTGATCGGTCTTTCGTAGATATCTCTTGGTAGGGTTATTCTCATATTTTATGTTTATTATACATTCATTTCTCGCATTTGTTACTAGAAATTCAATTAAAATTTTTACTTATTTACAACATATACTGTAAATCTAGTCGTGGCAAAGTAATTAAAATTACTAATTCAAAATTTATTACAAAATTTGACCTGCTCAAAGTTCAAAAATTTTATTAAACTAAGTTTGTATAAAAAGGGTTATTATAATATTAAGGAATTTATGGATGATAATAACCCCTGCGAATGAGGAAATCGCTACCAAGCTATTTCTAATTTGTCGTGTTGTAAATTGTGTAAGCTGTTATATAAAAAAGTCCCGCTGGGTTTCTTACTGGTTCTTCACATGACAGTGGTTTTTTTTCGAACCAGTGGTAATTAAACAAAAGAGTGACTTTCAATAAGTATTATTTATAATCTATATTAAATAAAAAAGTTTCTGTTTCTGTTTCTATTATCAAAATCATTATTACTTCTAAACATCAGTCAATAAAATACCAAGCTTTAAGACCATGAATTAATAGAAGTTAACGGAGTAGCGTTTGCCAGTATGCCATATGGTAGCTGTGTGACCGATTCCACCACACTATTTTGTCCTATGAGTAAGAGGCGGCTAGTTATACCGACTAGGTATGCGAGATGCCCGAAAGCTTCCATGGGTTCCGATAGATGGCAGTATATCCATCTCTTTACTCCAGGTGTAAAATACCCAGTGTGGCGATTGGGAACAGCATCAAAAGTGAACTCCAACTGAAGAGATCCAAATCCAGCAGAGACTTTTGCGGGCTAATTATAAAAAAAGAAGAATGGAACGAGTTTAATCGATGAAGACATTAACGGAAAATATTTTAAGGAATATTCTTTTACAAAACAATTTACTTCCTAACACGGAAGGCGCTATACAACAGATTTCCTAAAATCTTTCCTAAACGCTAAGTTGGTGCTTTACTTTACAACTTTAGGCTACACCACCACTTACTATCAACCTTGGCTAGTAATTGTTAAAATATTTATGGCCTTCCTTTGTTTATTAATGTATGATAAAAGATTAACAACAGTGTAGTGGCGATGTAAGAATATAAACTTCCCCATATCGTCCTGTGGATGTCGTAAAAGACAACATAGGGAAAACGAAACGAATTTTCCTCATTACCTACAAATCAAAATTATTAAAAACTACGGTTGCCAACTCGCGCACAATTTCTTTTTATAGAATGAGAGTGACAAACTAGAATACAGTCCACCAGTAAGTGGATGCTATGGCCCATAGACATCTACATGTATTGCTTAAGAATCAAAATGCAGATGCGTATTCACCCAAAAATTCTAAGATGGAATGCCTTGTTACTGTAAAAAAATGGTCTCCGGTTCTCTATCATACGAAACAGAACGGCATTCTTCTGCTGTTCCACGCTAGTATATTGTGAGAGCTCCGTGGCGCAGTGGCTTAGCAATGAGGTGTTGCGCTGGGGGCCGCGGGTTCGAATAACGCACGCAACAAGTATTTGTATGGCCTACAAATAATTGTTCTGGATGTTTGTCCTCGTGCAATATATATTTGTAAACTGCCTCCACGATACAGGAGAAAATCCTAGTGTGGTGTTAACGTTTTTTTTTTAATGAAAAAAAAGAGCGTGGTCATATCCCGGTCGAGCCAACCCGATCGTGCTGCAGCTACGAGTGTATATATCTGCAGCGTCGCTTTACGACGCAAACAGTATTTCAGTCTTGATATAACTTATATCAATCGAATGTACTTTTCCTTGCAAAATTTGATAAAAGCTGATATGAGAATAACTCCATACAGCAATTGCACAAGCGCCCATTTGCGGGTGAATGTATGTGGGTAGAGCCTTGTTTTGATTTCTAATTGCATAATCGCAGTGGCAACAGCGACGGTAAAGGCAATATTTATATAAATGTTTCAAATAAAATGTAAAAACAAATAGCGCCCAAATCTTTATTATAGAACAATAGTTACAGGTTAAGGAACATTATTTGTTAACCTGTAGCTTTCATTTATGGTCACAGATCTACCGCCTAGTCTGTTGTCTGTTTAGTGTATAAGTTGGTATCCTTTGACAATGTAGTTCACCCTAGCCGTTAATCTTTCTCCTCTTTTTAATACGCTTTTATTAGGTTCGCGTGTATCTATCTATGTAACGGATTTTTTGATGTAAGTTTCACCAACTTATAAATAGTCTCTAAAAGCTTGCCGTCCGCACGATGGTAATAGTCACCGTAGCCTATTAAACGCGTCCCAGAACGAATTTCCGTCAAGCCGTGGCATGGTCAACCGCGGTGAATAAAGAGCAACCCACTTGGCTGGTCTAAGGTGAAGGGTCTGCACGAGAAGGCTGCTCCGAGTGGACACTGGATACGATTTGTACTGTTTCTTTGCGGCAAAAATAAATAAAAGAGTGGGTAAATAAAACTTCTCGCTCAGTTAATAAAAAGGTTAAAGTTACAGCCTATATACATCCCACTGCTGGGCAAAGGCCTCTACTCATTTCTGAGAAGGATTTAGGGTAAGGAAATGTCCGCCACGCTGCCCCAATGCGTATTGGCGAACTTCATATGTCTTAGAATTTTTTTTTCTCTTATTTCTCCGATTTTTGACAGTGGTAGAGCCACGCGGCAGCTTTTGCTGTCGCACGGATGGGCCGGCTCGAACCGGGGTAGTACCACGACCTCACAGAAAACCAGCGTGAAGTAGAGGTTTACCTCTGCGTTTCGCTTGGTGAGTGCAGGTGGCCGGAGGCCCTTTTTACTGGAAATGAGGCATTCCATCTTAGTCCTCACGGGTGACAACGCATCTACATTTTGATTTGTAACAGAGGATAGATGTAGATGTCTATGGGCCGCAGCAACCACTTACCATCAGGTGGACTGTGTGCTCGTTTGTCACCCTTATCCTATAAAAAAAAAAAAAAACATGCACGTTTCCTCACGGTGTTTTTCTTCACCGCCGAGCACGTGGTAAATTAGCACTTGAAATTGCAATTAACAATTTCCTTGGTGCCGGCGAAGATCGAACCCGGATTGCTCGCGTACTGTGAAATTTACGGCGAGCGCTAACCTTCTGAGCTACCACGGCTCAGTTAATAAGTCACAGAGGATGATTAATCGTTTTCTTTATAATTATTTTTGCGAAATCAAAAACTCAAGTATTTTTTATTTATGTTTTTACCAATGACAAATGTAATCGAAATAATACTAATGGAACAATCTATTCATAACTACATAAACGAATATCACTAAAGTGTTAAAGCAATCATTCGTTTCAAAATAAAAAAGTATAAACATATAACAAGGAATTTTCATCAAAAATATAACTATTATACATACGAATATACCTACTCATATATTATACACATACACTCGAATAATAAAAATTGAATCATTACTGGCCAAAGAATACCACAAAGCACAGTTCTAAGCCACCTACATTAATTGACTTCCTGCATATCACACCATGTCGTCATTCCGTCTAGTTGGTAACCGTCCTACACTTCGCTTATCGCTACGAATCTGCCACTCGAGACCTTTCTTCCCCATGGGTTGTCAGTTCTTCGAGCTACATGGCCGGCCCGTTAGTACTTAAGAATACTGGTCCCTTGGGCTATGTTGTTTACTGTGGTTCTAGTGCGGATATACTCATTTAGAAGTCTATGGTGATTTCCCTGAACTGGATAATAATATAATTCTCTCTACAGAGTCAGGTACCTACAATTGTTCCCACTGTAGAAGAGCTTATAGCTAAAATTTACCCAAACATCAATAACATTCACGATAAACCTGCAGAATGGTTATGTGAGCGTGCCATCTTAACAACCAAAAAACGAACAAGCCTCAGTCATAAATGAAATACTTTTGAGATCATTCGAAGGTGTCAAATATCAATATAAATCCGTCAACAACGTCAAAACACCGATGATGCCATTCATTATCCGGTCGAGTTCCTGAGTACACGGAAGCCCTCCCGGTCTCCTAACTCACATATTAAAATTGAGAGTTGTCGCAAAATTATGCAATGGCACCAGATTGCAAGTGAAAACATTGCATTGCAATGTAATCGAGGCAACTATACTGACAGGTTGTTCTCGAGGAGAGTCTGTATTTATAGGATTCCCCTAACACCATCAAATTACCCCTTTGAATTCAAAAGAGTGCAGTTTCCTATCAAAGTCTGCTTCACCATAAACACAGCTCAAGGTTAAACTCTTAAGGTAGCGGGAGTAGACCTGAGAGAAAGCTGCTTCTTCCACGGTCAGTTGTATGTGGCATGCTCCAGAGTAAGTGCATAGAGTAACCTGGTGATTCTCGCACCCGAAGGAAAAAAATTGTTTACAAAGAAATACTGCGGTAGGTGTAGTATTCTGATTTTGTTGTAAAAAGATAATATGCCCGCGTCACTTTCACCAGATCAAAGGCAGAGCTTCGTTTTCATAAAATTTATTATATTTATAACAAAATTTTATTTTATTTTCTTATTTATTTAACCTTTAAATCCCTACACTATAAAAAAATTTAATAAGTATTCAAACATTTAAATATGATAATTTATATGTTATAACAAAATAAATAACGTAAAAATCCTATTAAAAATTTTATTAGAACCATTTTCTTCTACGCGGACGAAAACGCAGGCAAAAGCTAGTCTATGATAAAAATTGTGGTTTCAAGTTTTTTTTTTTATTGAAGAGGAGGCAAACGAGCATGCGGCTCACCTGATGGTAAGTGATTACCGCCGCCCATGAACAACTGCAACACCAGGTGAATTGCAGATGCGTTGCCGGCCTTTTAATAAAGAGTAGGCTCTTTCTTGAAGGTCCCTAAGTCGTTAAGTTTATTAAAAAGGATTTTAAAATAAAGTAGTCTTTTAGTTTGATGTTTAATATTTAATATAAAAATTTAAAAGCATCAATAAATTCCTGTT